GAAGTTAAAGCAAATTGATAATGAATGATACACTAGTACTGCCTGGTGAGTGAATTCTGAGCTAAACTGTTTACAATAGAATATCCATCTGATCAACATTGCCGAAGACAAGACGCTTCCATATTAGCAGGATCTATAAACATTTTCGGATTAGTGCCATCTATTGTGTTAATTACGCAATTCACTATCAATAGTTTTGAAGACCTTGTATGCCTGAACATCTTTGCTGAAGGAAGCAACATCCTTTTTGGTTAGGTTCTCGTGATATGAACATCTCAACCAGCGAAACATCCTTCTTCATAGATATATTTTTACAATACCCCCTCCACATGAGAGATCCGTCCCCCAAAATAACATTTACTTAAAGTCCCTTTACTTACAATGCAAGACATTTTTGATTTCTAAAATTCATTTAAATTTCGATACGATTTCGATGAAATTGATCCCAGCAAAGTACAGACAATGTATGTTTTTTTTTGGCACAGACAAAGGCGATATATATATGAAAACGGCGTATGGAAGAGAAGAATAAACCACGAGTTGGCGCATCTTTATGACGAGTCCAGTATCTTAACAGTTGATAAAACTGATGTAGAGCGTGTCAGCCAACAATCCCGCCAATATAGTGTTTATATCACGACATCTTAATCAAAAAGAATGTAGCTTCAGCGTGCTAGATGGTTAGACCAGGTGAAGCAAAATCTATGAAATGTGGGACGCTCAAGAAACTGAAGTCAACCTGCCAAATATTGCTCTCAAATTGTCGTGTAACTTTTCTGTAGCAAATAAAAATAATTAATTAATTAATTTAGCTGTATTTAGGAAAATAAAAATAAGGAGTAAGGACTGTAAATGGTGGACACCTACTTTTGATAATAACTTTATTTTGCGTCAGCATTTCACATACCCCTGTAGAACTTTACTTAGATCACCTTTCATCTGAATTTGTACATTCTCTTGTGGTACCTGCTTTTTCCACATTTTATTGAAAGATTCCACTTCTGTAGCTTTTTTGCCTTGCTTCTTCAAATGACGTTTCAAAATTGCCCAGTATCGTTCGATCGAACGAGGCTATGGGCAAATTGGAGGATTGTCCTCTTTTTTGACGAAATCGATGTTCAGTGATTACATCGACAGTACAGCTTCAAGCTTGTGGGTGCGTAATGCGTAGAGATGTGCGATCCACTCCCGAGCTGTTCTAAACACTCGATTCACTAAAATGAACTGATAACCCGCGTTTTAATTTTTAGGAACCGTAGCTCATCAGCTCACTGATATAACAAGTCTAAAACATTCAATCCGTCACTTATAGAGGAACTTTTCAATGAAGCACTCCACACTCCACTTACACATTGAACAGCCATCGCGTAAAACAAGATGTTCGCGTAATATAACATGTGATTGATAGAATCAATGGTAAAAGCAAACATTCAAGCGACTTTATGGGAGAGAGATATATTTACATGTTTTACAGTATAATAAATGTCTATTGATATTATCCAATGTAGGTCGGGGAAATGACGGCTTCGGCATGACAGACTATTGTCGGCAACTCAAATTGAAATGCTGGGAAGAATTTGAAGAAACCACTTCGCTGAATGCATTCAAACTATTCTTTAGGCTTTCAACTTCAATTTGATTATATTTTTACCACTGAGAAAAAGCAATATAGCAGGGTTTTCTTGAAATGAAACACACGCACTACAAAACGCTGCTGATTTCGAGTTGACGATGAAAGCACAGCTGTTTAACACGAAGCTCAAATAGAAAGGCTGCCGAATAAAAAGAGGTTGCCCACAATAGTCGCTCTCACTAGAGAATATTGGAGCTTTGTTAAAGCGTTTCAAAACAGTTTTTGACAATTCTTTCGATTGAAATTGTTAGAGCAGCAAAAGATTGTAAACAAACCAATACTGTATATGTGTGCGTTCCTTAGAGAAAAAGGCTTTAGAAAGATGACCGCTACTTTGGTTCTCGAGAATACGTAAATTCCCCTACATATTTACGTTCCCGGCTCTTAATGCTGGTGTTATTGCTGCAGCATATGTTCTCGTATCTCTCTCCCATCATTCTCTGGGGAGCGAAAGATCCGCACAAAAGCAGATAACCGAACAGCGAAATGCAGCTCTCCACCTCACAGCTCAGCTCCGGATCTGAATCGTCGACCAGAATGATTCACTGGGAGCTGTTCGGCTCTTTTTTTCTCTCCCGATTCTTCACGATTCTGCTCCGGAACCGAATCTGAGCCGAGAATTAACATTAGCATTAAAATCTGTATGTAGACTGAATTGCATAGCATGAGAAAAGGCGTCAATTCTATCATCATCATCATCATTGTGATATAGGTATAGCTCTCTCGCATACATTTTTTGCTATTATTGATATGGCAATTTTACGTGCATTTCAGTTTACGCGGTGGTCGTTCCATTGATGCATTAGTGGCGTTTTCAATTGAAAAGTAGAGCAATGTTTTAAGCTACGGATTTATTGGTTTAGAATAATTTTACTATTTTACGTAGTTTTAAGATATCGCTCTATTGGTTTAGGGTTACCAAAACCATTTTTTTCTTTTACGATTTTGAATTGGTGTCAAAATTTATATAATTTAAATGTGAGCCTCTTATTGACCTGGACTGGTCTGATACGCTCAGTCAGAAGAGCTTTTTTGCTAGTAATGAGTGGACGCCAAGTCAGGTCAGAACAAGGGCGGAGTGTTGTGTTGATGATAGAGCCGAGCCAGGTGCTTCTTAATGCATTCTTATCTGTACATTTCTCCTGATGTTGTTCCTCTAGTAAAAAACAGCATGCCTCTACGACACCTCGTTCAAATTGCTGGCCAAACAATACATGTTTCCCCGAACTTCTCAATTTGAACTGTACGGATGTTGTCAGGAACCTTCTTTCCAATAACAGCATAAAACTGTCTCCGGAGACGAACCAGTCTCAGGTTGAAAGTCTTCCTAATAAAGAAAACTTAACTTAACTTATAAAACTGCGAACCTGGAAGCGCTCTGGTGTCCAATTTAACCTTCGGTAGTGTTTCTTGACGCGAGTTTTTTGATTTTCTATTCTCTTCAGGAACTCTAGGACTAGAAATGCTGTGATGTAAGGAGCTGTACACCTCTTCTCTCCAAATATGGATCCGATGCTGCTTGTCTGCGTCTAGTTTTTGGCAAATATTTAGTGTCCTCTTATCCAAATACGAGAGCCCTTCTGTGCACCATATGAGCAAAATTCAAACGTCTGGTTTCCAAATTACGTTTACAACGCGGTTTTTACAGTTTTTAAAACAGGCGTTGAATTCTACTGTAGCACTCAAAGGTTAATTTTCTGAACTACAAGCTAGTCAAAGATAAGACAAAATTAGATTAAAATTGAGCTTCGTATATACAAATAAAGGCGTTCACCTTAAAAAAGGGAAACTCCTTATTGATAAATGCCACAAATTATAAACAGTTTAATTTTTTTTAATGTGATGTGCTGATAGTCCGCAGGCCTGAAATTCCTAAACATTTTGAATACACACCCCTCAAAAAATGTTATAACGATATTGTGAGTGATCAGAAAACAATATTAATTGTTTGTGGCAAGGTAAAGGGTTAAAAGCCTCGTGCGATAAGCCTTATTTACCAACTGTTTAAGCATTTTGTATCTCCCACGGTGCGAAGGTTCGTTTTTCACCCCAAGCTAGTTGAATCTATAGTTCTCGTTCAAACTTCTATGGAACTCACTTTGTTGTGATTATCAGTTTAGTTTGTGAAGAAATAATCGTAAAGGAGAAGAAGCATATAGGGTAGAGAACTACTCCGGCCTATCAAGCAGAAAACATCAAATAAATCCATGATTTCGGCTTTAACAGGACGATTATGAGTTTGGTACGATACTTTAGTTCAAATGCTACCAAACGAAGTCAATAAGAACGCGTGATATAAAGGTTTGCATCCATTATTATCAAATACAAATGAAGCGCTCTGACCAAATCAATAATTATCTTCATCCGTTAGGCCGAAGTGAATTAATTGGTGTTTCAATGGCATTTTAATACATTAGACTGAGCTTAGACTCCGTAGGACGAGTTTGGCTTCAGAAGCAATGTTAGACTTTCAACAATATCTCAACAATTTGTTTCTCTTTATCAAATCTTACGGTACTTACGGAAAGGTAAATAAATTTGGAAGCCATCATTAATAATAACATTCCGTTTGGTGCTAAACTACGCGAGATTAAGAAAGACTAAGTGTGAGGTGTGCTTAATAGGTCGGAATTGAGTAGTTAACCCCATTAGAATCATTTTTTGAAATTTGATTGTATTCAAACGTTTTTAAAAATTATAGAAACCTCCAAGCTTTACAGGATTTCTAACGAGCCTATCAATGAATTTTGCCCCAATATCACATGAATCTATCACACATTCCACTTGTCGCAATCACAGCAACGCACACTAAAACGCATTACAAATCAACGGCTGTGCAAAGAATAACATCGGCGCCCGTCAGTGGAAGCAGCGGCAACTTTACGCCGCAGTCGTCAGCCACCGGCTCAACTCATCCAAGAGGAATCGTAACTCCCCTCGTACCGCTCCGGGATATATGCAGGCAGAACCTGGTAGGCAGCGATGACTAGGGCATGCGAAATCCACCACATCACATGGCACGTAACTACCTTTCAGTACGACAAGCAACCGGCTACCGCATCTCGGGAGGCTAAAAATAGTCACACATTTTCACGTCGGGAGGGAAAATTTATTGAGGCATATTTCTCAATCACCAACACGAGCACATTCTCGGTACGCAGTTCTTCTCAGCTAGTCTCATTCTCTCCCATACGCTCACTGTTTGCACGATCGTTCACGGATTCGTCACGCACGATCTTCGGAGATTCATGGTTGAAGCTGCTATGTTTCGTTCGTGCGAATTGGGGAAAATTGGATCAATTTTTGAATTTGCTAACCGGTAGAACCCTGCTGAATGTTATTTCACCGGTAGAATCCGGGGTAGATTTTCATCGATTTTCACCTTTAGTCTGTAGGTGGCTGTGAGTCAAGTCTGACCGAACCGGTATCGCTTGCCGACGTGGCCGCGTGAGAGTGCTCACCATTTCAACGTCAAGTGGTTTTCAGTTGGTTCATTCGAAACGGCTGAAGAAGCCAAACAGAAGAAAAGAATTTCAGGAAGGAATTTGCGGAGACGGAGAGAACTTGCTCGAGTCTTTGTAGTGGTGGGCCATCGGTATCGTGATCGTGTGCAATTGGTCGGTAAGAAATTTTCTCGTACGCAGCTCCGCAGAGAGACGGTGATTTTTGTGCGGAAAAGGTTTTTCTTGGCAAGTGAAGTTTCATTTTTAAGTGGGTTAGGTGAACATTTAGCAGAAGAAAAATGTCGGATCTGGATGAAATTGGTGATATGAGCAATTTCGATGCCTGGCTGGAGAAGGATTTCCTGAGCAAAATCAGCCGGCTGGAGACGGAATGTGAAGATTCGCGAGAGAAGATCAAAACGTTGGATAAGGATCTGAAGAAGAAGACCATTGAATGTGATATTTTAAGGGCAAAAGTGGGCAAACTCGAAACGGTCCCGTCGAACAATGCGGCCTCCAACGAAAAGATCGAGATTCTGGAAAAAGAACTCAAGAGAAAGTCGATGGAATTGGATATCCTCCGATCTAAACTATCCAATGCAGAAACGAAACCGGATGGATCACAGGACTTGGCCGAAAGGGTAAAACAGTTGGAGAAAGAGCTGAAGAAGAGGATAATTGAGAATGGTATTTTGAAGGGAAAGCTAACGGACATCGATTCGGCACCACAAACTCCAGATGCTCAGGAGAAAATTAATGAGCTGGTTCAGGGTCTTCAACGGACAGAGAGTGTGGTACTGAAGGAGATGGTTAAGGATTTGGAAGGTGACCACGAGCCTTCAGAGAGAACTGGAGAACTCGAACGAGAGTTGAGGAAAAAGAACATTGAAAGTGATATCCTTCGATCTAAGCTGAAGCAATTTGAGAGCACGCCAGTATCCAATCAAGAGTCGAGTGATAAAATTCGAGATTTGGAAAAGCTTGTCAAAAAGTACCAGATTGAAGCTGATATTTTAAGAGGAAAGGTCAGCTCCATGGAAAGCGATGCGGCCGATAAGGATGAAGAAGATTCAACTGAGAGGATCGAAGATCTCGAAAAGGGCCTTCAGAGGAGTACTACCGAGGGAAATATGCTGAGAGCTAAGATGCGAATGTTTGAAAATGAATCTTGTGCTGCGCAGGATTCGAAAAATGAAAAAATCGTAGAGCTGCAACGGGGCTTGAAGAAGAGCACTACAGAAAGTACGATTTTGCGCTCCAAATTGAATGAGCTAGAGAATAAACAAACCGACTCTGGCGTCAGTTCATATAAAATTGAACAGCTAGAAGCTGAATTGAAGAAAAAGAATATTGAAAATGACATACTTAGGTCGAAAGTTGAACAGCTGGAACGGGTTCCACTGGCAGACAGTCCCGCCAACGCAAAAGTGGAAGAACTCCAGAAGGAAGTACGAAAACTAAAGATCGAAAATGATATTCTGCGATCGAAGCTGAACCATGCTGAGGAAGAACCCACAGAGTCTCAAGAATCTACCGACCGCATAAGCGAGCTTGAAAATGCACTGAAGAAACGCGTAATCGAAAGTGACATCCTTAGGGCCAAGGTCATCCAACTGGAGTGTGAACTCTCACCAACCAAGAACTCCAACGAGCGCATTGAGGACCTCGAAAGTGAGCTCAAGAAAAAGCAGCTCGAAAATGACATTCTCAAGTCCAAGGTCTCTCAGCTGGAGAGTGAAGTCCTTGCCAGTCAATCCAACGGCAAGAAGGGAGATGCGCAAGAAATTAAGAAACTCAAAGAAAAACACGAAGAAGTCCTGAACAAAGCCAAGGAGCTGCTGTTCGAACGCACCAAAACAGTCAAAACCCAGGAGATGCACGTCAAAGCCCTGCAAAATCAGATCGAAAACATCAAGGAAGTCGTTACCGTCACCAAGGATATGCTAAACATTCGAAACATGGAGCACGAACAGTTGCAGAACCGCTTCGAGAACATTGACAGCAAGATGAAGGCGGAACGGGAACGGCAGACACTGCTCGAGAAGAAACTTGTCGCTTCCCAGAAGCTGTACAACGATCTGCGAGAGGAGTACACGAAGCAAGTGGATCTGTTCAAGGTTAGTTGGATAGCTGTCGATTTGCTCGGATTTGCGTGCGAGTGAGAGCAGTGTATTTCTAAGGTGGCTTCAATTCCGTTTCCCCCGTATGCCTTTCCCCTCGCATGTCCGGTCTTGATGTTTTTTTTTTACATACGGAAATTCCTAACTGATGCGACGATGAAGTCGTAGCGCGCACATGGTGCGGTGTGGGTGATGGTTGTTTTTTTTGTTTTTCTTCACACGATGGTGGTTGGAAGCTGAGTAATTACAGCAACGTAATTAAATAGTATCCAGTGCGATAGTTTACTGCCTTCTTGACTTGAGTTGGACAATTTGAAATTTAATTTATTCTGAAGCGTGGTGGGCGTTGAGCTGGTAGTGTGCTTGCCAGGTGCTTCCGGTGAGGAATAATTTTAAGATGAGCCTTGCATCCATATTCGGAGATGAATCAATAATGCATTAAACGATGAAAATTATACATCATAGGGTTACATTCGTTCAAACCAGGGCTGCAAAGTCAGTAAAAAGTAACTCCAACTTCAACTCCGACTTATCGAAACGATGTCTGTCAACTTTGACTCCAACTCCGGGGCAATACATTTATGAAAAATTTTCAATTATTTTCTATAATTTTCTTATGTAAGAATTTTAACGAACGTTAAGAATTATTCGTTAGATTGTTTTTTGAATCCATTTAATATTTATTTGTAATGGAATAAGGGGCATACTGAGCAAATGGGCATTATGAACATCCTGTACACTAGCCTTAAATTAATGATTGTTAATAACACATTAATTAATAGTAGGTTCAATATGATATTGAATCTACTACCAATTAAATTTCATTGAATAATTAGAAATGTGTGATTAATGTACATGATGCTTATAATGCTCCACCGGTTCACTATGCCTTCCTGTCCCTGTAAAATGATACCATAATTTACTTATGAATAAATATACACCTGTTTTGAGTAACAAGAGTTTAAACATATTTTTTAAATTAACATTTGGCATATTCAATACTGAAGGTCATCAAAAAAAGTTTATCCACGCCGATAAGAACATGAGATCAATTAACACCCACAAATATGAGGGAGGTTACATCTAAATTTCAATCCTAGATACTTAACAAATGAAAATCGAGACAAAGAAAGCCAATGGCTAAGAATTTAATTTGAAATTCTGGATTTTCGAAAAATGTATGTCATTGATATTGATATTCGATTTGAAACACATGGTTCTGAATACAGAACGCACCCACTTCATATTAAATCAATTCCAAAATTAACTCTACACTTTGTTTCACAAAATTGACTATCACTATTATATTATATTCCGAAAAGATCTCATTAACGATAAGCTTAATTTATCAAAAAATTAATTCGCTTAGGCATTGAAATGTGTTATTAAATGTTGTTCTTATTATTATTGTTTGGCTATTAGTTGACATTATTATTCTACTTTTACAAATATTAATAATAAGAGCAGCAGCAGTAGAGGCTTAGATCTTATAGCTTCTGGCGAACAGGATGAACGCAAATTGGTGTTGACAAACACCCTTAAATTATATCGAACCGTAAAATGTTAAAACATAGAAAAAGGTTTTGAAATGGGTTAAATTATTTCCATTTAATTCTGATCTAATTACTATCCAGTTAACAGATACGCGTATGTAAAGCGTATGTAGAATTCTTCATTGCCAAGTACTCAAGTGCCATTCCAAATCAATACAATGAGATCTCGTTTTTGTAGACATGTTTCGACGTGTCATAATTGAGTGCTAAAATGGCTTAACCATAAGAATCAATACTCCCTACGTGAATCATGTTGAAAAGCTATTGAAAAAATATAAAGAGATAGAGAGAGAATGCTTAGTAATTTCCTTTTAATTCCACTACCTTATTTGCTTATCCTTGACAGATACGTGTATTTCGTCTTCAATGTGCAGACTTCTTCAGTGTCTTGTACTAATACTCGACTTTGAAATAGTATTAGTACAAGACACTAAAGAAGTCTGCACATTGTAGACGAAATACGCGTATCTGTAAAGCATAACCAAATAAGGTAGTGACATTAAATGGAAATTACTAATAATTCTTTCTCTGTTTATACAGGTATTCCACTAAGACGCCCACATTCATCACGATTTATTGAAAAAGTTAAGGGTTGAGCCTCAAGCACGACCCCATTATTGACATATAATGTAAGTGACCTATAAGTTTTATTCTATAATAAACCATCTATCTAGTTGAGATTTCAAGATGTTCAAGCAAGTAATTATAAGTCAAATCGTATACCTGCGCTAGGTGAGATAATTCAGAACTGAGTTGTCTACTATACAATAGCTCGTGTCGACAGCAACCTTCTATCTAGTCAAGATGTCGATACTATAGGTCTTGTCAGTAAACTTTTATCTAGGCGTACTGTCAAGATAAATCAAGCAATAAGATGTCAAATTACACATAAGCTTCACCGGGTGAGTGAACTCTGAACTGAGTCGTTCATCATCCTGTAGGTCTTATTCATCAGAACAACTTTGTCGAAGACCACTACCTTCTAACGAGTTGAGATCGCAAGACAGAAGCATTTTAAAAAGACTTTTAACTGCGAAAATACATATTGAAAATGGAAATAATGTGGCAACACTGTTGGTGGGTAGTTAAAAAAGAAGCTCGTTTGCCTAGTGGCAAACGTTTTTGCTTACTGAACAGAATATCGTGGGTTCAATTCCATGCTCTTTCGCGTTATATATCGTTAGGACATCAATTCAGCTTATAATTTACCAAAACGCACCCTGCTGCAAACCAAACGCTCTTACACAACATCCCAGTGATTTCTCGTGGAAGTGCAGAGGTGTTCTCGGCTTCCATCAAAGCAAGTGCCACGTCAACACATCCCTACTCATTCCTTTCTTGACCTGCGTTCGGGCGCGGCCGGCGCTGGTATTGCCTAGTTTGATATCATCAGTATTTACAAGTTGAAGATGAATGCTAGCCCAAGCATTGTCTATTGGTTCTCTATGTAATTACAGCTGATCTGGCAATAACAGGCGGTCAATCATGCACATGGATCTGAAGTACTCATATTTGCAAAGAGGTTCACGTAACTTCTCTAAGATCCTTAAAGTTCTCTGAAGTTTTGGCAACTTCTATAAAGTTTCTGCATTATTCCTAAAGTCAACAGATCTACCCTAAAGGTCTCTAATCTTCACAGAAATTCTAGAAATTTTCCTGTAATCTATGGAACTACCTTAAGGTCCAATCATTTTCCTGAAGATAATAAAGGGTGTATTCGATGAAAATGGCACACCGAAAATCTTCTGTAACTTTTGAACAGTTTGAGTAAAAAACCAGACAATTTTAGTAAATCTTATTCATAGTATATTGTTGACATCTGTTAAGTTTCAAAGTTATTCATACAGTAGTTCCAGTCATGTCGTCGAAACAAAAAATTGTCCGTGAAAAAATGGTGTGCACTTACAGTCAAAATCCAAGGGCGTGAATCGCTAAAAAGCTTGGAATTGCAAATACAACTGTGTCTCGTGTGATAAGAACCTTGAAGAAGCGTCTGAGTGCCCGAAGGAAGGATGGGAGTGGTCGTAAAAGTGGTCAAATGAATAGTAAAATGGCCAGGAAAGTGGTGCAACAGTTCAAGAACCATCCAAACATGTCAATTCGAGATGTTGCTAAAAAGTCCAAGGTGTCAGTCAGTTTTGTGCAGAAAACCATTAAGCGTGCTTGGTTACATGTTAACAAGGTGCAAAAAGCCCCAAACCGGAATGCCAAAACCCACGCCCGCAAACTTTACACGAAGTTGCTCACCAAATCGTGTTGCATCGTGATGGATCACGAAACTTACGTCAAGGCCGACATCCTCCAACTTCTTGGGTAAAAATATTTCATTGCCAAGTCTGATGTTCCGATGACGCTTTTTTAGATGCAAGAATACCATAGTTTGTTATTTTGAAGGTCTTCTAATACCAATTTAATAGCTCTTTTACGTATAATTGTCTGAAAACTGAAATATCATATTTTGTTATTTTGGTATTCATTTGATATTTTACAAAATATGAAGATAACTGAATTATATCAAAACAAGGTTTTAAACCACAAGCATACCAAAATCTGGTAACATACCACATTAAGATATTCATTTGTTATCGATTAGCTATCGGTTTCTGCTCGGGATGAGCGATTATGCGCCCAACATAGAATCCAACTCCTGGGTACAATTTTTTTTTCCTTTCACTTTTGTTGGCGGATATTTCTTCAAGCGTTTATTTTCTAAATTGGCTTAAAAGCGCATATTTAATCTGAATGAAGACATAATAATTCTCATGTTTTTAAAAAATGCAATTTTGCGCATATAAGGGCACAGTAATCTGTATGGGCATAAAGCAATAAGAATTAATATGTATAATAGTGTGACGTAGATGGTGTGAACACTAGAGTGATGCAATATTTGAAAATTTCGCTCCACAATACTTAAACGATTCCAAATCGGATCTTGACTAACCTTTCAAAATTTGAACCCATTTGGTGAGAAACTGAGAAAGCACAAACCATTTGAAGTTTGTATGAGAATTACTATGGAAAACCAAGATTTTTGTTCAAGTCTATCCAATAATTCACCATATCGGTCTGCTTCGAAAGTTTTCAACTGTTCTTGTAGGAAATTTACATAAAAAAGATATACCCGAATATAGTAAAATATATGAATAAATTCAAATTGATTTTATACGAGTTTAATAAATAACATGCCTCCATTTTTTTCATATTATTGAGAATTACATACTCCCTTTTAAATGCCGTATAAAAACTTTTTTTTTTGTTTGCCCCAATCAGAGATATTGACATTTGAAAAGTGCATATTTTTAGTATAAAAACGTCAATAACTCTTGATCGGCGAAAGATAAAGGGCGTCCACGATGAAATTGCCACACTATGAAATTGCTCTAACTTTTTAACCGTTGGGTAGAATTTAATGAAAATTTGGGTGGATTTAGTTCATAGTGCATT